GTAGTGAAGGGCTTACACAAGTACAAAGGATCAAGCTCTCAATTTAGTGAGTTCTTGTGAATGATTTAACACAAAATGGCATTAGGCCATATTGTGGGGGAATGACCCCTATTTATAGAAAAACTTGTAGCTTTGTCACATTGACATGTGTCATGTTATGATTGGTTCTTGATGTCGACACGTGCTGCGCTCTGATTGGCTTCTAATCTTGACACGTGTCGAGTAGTGATTGGCCTCCTGGTCGAAGGGGAACTCTTCTGGGTCCTTGACAGTATAGCGCTGGCCGGTGCTCGGTAGTTTCGGGATTGGTCAAGTATGGTACAAACACTGTTTTTACAAATGATGATGTTAATGAGTTAAATTATTGGTTGTTCAGGACGAAAAATTAATAAAAATTGAATCCGCATTTAAATGTATAAACATAAATGCATTTTGCTAATGCGGTAAAATGTCATATGCTTTTTGCACTAAGCATTTAAATTTAAAATGTTAGAATAAGTTAGGAGAAAGGGAGGCATACACTTTGATTTTTCTTCTCTCTAGTATTCTCATTTGGACCTTCACTTTAGTGCCCCTACACGTGTCCTAACTCCCAATTGATCTCATAAAGTGTATTTGAAGCATACATTGTACACTGATGTTCTGCTTTTTGACTTCTTTCTAACTTTTTAGGCTTAAAAAGCTTCAACTCCAAGATTGAAGATGCAAACTCTTGCGGATAAAGAATTTGGATTTCATTCGGATTTAAATCGTGGGAATTTTAGAAATTTTTACATCTTATTTGTTCATTATACATTGTGCAATTAGAATTCATTTTGAAATTTTTATTTAAAATTAAACACGAATAGTACCTGACAAAAACTGACTGCACGAACTACAATGTACAGTTAGGATGTGAAGATCCTCACAAAGAAGATTCAGAGAGAATTCTCATCCATGAATAACTAAGAGTAAAAGATATAATTACTATAAGTAAAGTTCGACGCATAGTATACATTGGTTGAGAATAAGTCATTCACATTTCATTTGATGATCAAATGTGAATTGAAAGCTAAGCAGTGATATTCTAAGAATTCGAACTACATTTGCAAATAATATAATATTTCACTAATAGAAAAAATGTAATCAACACTTGTGGATAACTCGAAAACTAATATTGTTTACACACTATATTTAATAGTAATTAGGCTTACATTGCTGAAACTTAGGCTTAGATTGCTAAAACTTATCCTAAAATTTTGGCTAGCTTGTATGTTTGAAGTGATTAATAAAGACAAAACCTCTATAGCAATCATCTGCAATGAAGGATTGCCGAAACTTAGGCTTAGATTGCCGAAACTTAACTTATGAATAGTTAGTGTTTGTTGTTGCTGTTTTGGTGTAGCATTGTTGACAGTTGTTTTGTTTTTTTTTTTTTTTTTTTTGGCTACAGCTCTTTAATTTTTTTCTCTTCAATATATTTATTTACCAAAAAAATAGTAATTAATTTAAGTGAATTCAACATTTCTTTCAATAATAATAGTTATCCGTCCCTAACACATAGGTACATTTTCCCCCTCAATTTCTATACAACTTGGATGACTTTGAATGGTATTATAAAAGAGAACTAAAATAGAGGATAAGTGAGAGCGGGGGCTTTGACTATTACTCCCAACATGCCAAAACCTACTTTTCTAAGTCAATATCAGCTTTAGTTTTAGGGCTAAATACATTTCACACTTGTTATATTTTGAGTGGTTTTTAAAATAGGCAACGAGGTTTTAATTGAATGAGGATTCTTTCGGATTCTTTTTGTGAGGATGTCGGAGATATTCACATCGTGTTAATTTATCGTACATCATGTAATCAGAAATTATTTTAAATATTTTTATTTAAAATTAAATACAAATAGTATCTGATGAAAAATGATCGCACAATATACGATGAACGGACACCGGATCCTCATTCGTTTTAATTTTCTCATATTGCTGTTTTATTTTTCTCACATTGCTCTCTAATATTTTGAAATTGTATTAATTTATTCTTTTTGTCTCATGAATTGTTTGAATATTTCATTAAATTGATGACATGGGGAGTATAAAACCCATAATTGCGAGACACGTCGTAAACAACATTTGCACCATATTGACCAAAAAAATCATCAATTAAACAAATATTTAGACGTTCAAATATTTAAAAGTTGTTAACTTATACAATTTCAAAATTTAAAGAGTAATGCAAGAAAACTAAAATCTCACAATGCATTTTAAAAATCACCTCAATTCTTAAGTGTGTAAAGTGTTATTAGCATTTATTTTTATCATGGAAAAAGTGGAAATATAGAGGTTAAAATTGTTGACCAAACTCTTTTCTACTGCAGCTTTCCAAAAAAAAAAAAAAACTCTTTTCTACTGCAAATTTTTAATCCATGTAAACTGAGCCAAATGGGAGATGGTAAAATCACAGATAATTTGGTGCTGTAATAATTAAACATGCAGAAGATTGGGTTTGGTTTGTTAAGGATCCACCATGTTCAAAAAATAATGAGCAAATAAAATAAGTGGTTCTCTACCTAGCCTCATATTATATTAAGAACAAAACTTGGCTGCTTAAAAAAAATAGAACTTTAACGAAAAATTTCCGGTACTGTTTACTTTAACGAAAAATCATATTTTTACACTAAAAAGCCAATCATACTACTATTCATTTTACCATTTATTTTTTCTTTATCATTAAAACTCAAAGTTTTCAATTCATTTTCCTTAAAAAAAAGTAGGAGCTCATTCTCTCATCCAATAATAACTTAACAAGTGTCTACAAAATTGCAAAAAATAAAACTTGAACTAATAACACACACTTGTCAAGTTGTTATTGAGTGAGAGTAGGAGCTCCTGTTTTTTTTCAGGTAGCCAAGCTTTGTTCTTATATTAATCAAGGGGTGTGAACCTTCTAGGTGAGAGGATTAGTGATGGGATTAGACTAGATTTATTTGTTTTTGGTAACTAGGGGATCAATGTTTCTTTGTTTTTCTCTTTGCAGGTTTAGTCTTCGTCTTCCACTTGTATTCTTTTATTTTTACTTTTCTTTATTTGATAAATCTTTAAGATAGGGAACGCTCTTTCTAATCGTTTTATAATACTCAAACTAGGGGAGATATTTTCGAATCTAGGTGGGTTGGAAGTTGTAGGACGCCCCAGCCAGTCATGCTTCCGTTTCTGCTCGGTGTGTTTAGGTTCGTTTGCCCTTTTTGTTGCCTTTTCTTTCTTTTTGTTCTTTCCCTTGTAAAATGTAGGTTTTTGAGAAAAATGGGAGAGCTCCATGTTAGTCTGTTGAAGCAGAAAAATGACATGACATGACTTAACCAAACCCTTTCTCCTCCCTTTTCATTTCTCTACAGAGAGACCTTTTAGGGTTGTTAGCTAGAAAGAAGGCTCAATTCTTCATAATTGGAAACACACCATTTAGCAAGACCACCAAATTTGCCACTAGAATTTTGAGCACAATATGTCATTTTTATCTTCTTTGGTCTCCCACACAAAGCTTTAAAATTAGGTATGTGGATGAGAATAGAGGGGCAATTGCTTTCGTATAAGATGAAGGAAAAGAGCAAGAAAAGGAAGAAACAAACAGAAAAAGCGAAAGCGAGAGAGGATAAGTTCATCGTTGTTATAACATTTTGATTCAATAACACAATATTATGTTTAAATTTTACTCTGCATATTACTAGATTATTGGATCAAGATGATGCATATCGGTGAACTTATTTTGTGTAAGTTGATTTTCAGATGAGAGAGAGAGAGAGAGAGAGAGAGAGAGAGAGAGAGAGAGAGAGCGCCAAATGATTCATGGCATTATGTGTGGAATTAGGGTCCCATTTAATAACTCATATTTACAAAAAAATGTGGCCTGCATTTGCCTGTTGCACCAAAATATCTGTGTTTTAAATTGGTGATTGATTTGAGACACACATACATCACTGATGTTGATGCGTCAAACCATGTGCTTTGCAAAGAAAATTAGGTAAAGATGTATTTCACCAAGTAATCCTAATATCCATAGTTTCTTATCAAAGGAGAAACATTCCAAGTTTCTGTCACGGGCTAGTTAGAGGGGGATAAGTTTGGTTTTAATTAGTGCACTTTTTATGGCTCAAATTAATAGGGCATCTGTCTGAAATGATTCGTTTTAACGAGTAGTCGTTAATAGGGCATCCATAGTTTCTTTGATACAATACCATAGCGTACCATAGTTTCAAAATTTTCTTCTCATGTAGGTTGGCAATTTATGGCTTCAACAATTGTGGGCTGGTTTTGAAGTATTTTTCCAAGATTCATTTTCATTTGTGTTAAAGATTGGTACCAAAAACATTTTTACTAAAATTGGTTGAACCCAAAAGAAAAAAAACACCAGTTGTGTTGGTTTATTCTTTCTTAGGCTTGAACTTACTTGTTTTGTAAGCGTAATTACTAAAAATGAGAAGAAAACAATGAGAAAAAGGAGAGTAGGATAATATCGGATAGTCTGCAACCAAACTTTTGTGCAAGTTGTTCATATCCTTTGGTGGTGAAAGGGAAAGGCAATTTGGCCCTTGTTAGGAATAAAGAACAATTTTGTTGGTTTGTCGCCATCTCCATTTTGGGGTAAGGCTAGCCGACATTCACCTCTCCCAGACCCTGCGTAAAACGGGAACCTTGTGCACTGGGTACGACCTTTACAGTCGCCATCTCCATTTTAGCCCCACAAGAGTGGCTGGTAAGATATGAATGTTGCAAACAACTTAACTGTTAACGAAAACGTCATTGTGACGGTATCTCGAACTAATTAACCAGTATTACCTATAAAAGTTAAACGCTACACTACTTGATCAGTTGAATTATTGCTACAATAGCGTCCCAATTGCAGGTCCTTGGCCCACAAGAAAAGATACTCGGATTGGATCTCATGAATGTTTTTTCTTGGTTTTATAGAGAAGATACTTGTTTATGCAGTTTAGAACTTTAGATGAAGGAGAATGATAGAAAAAAGAGAACAAAAAGATCTTTGAATTTCACATATATAGAGATATAGACATGTACATGAACACGAACTCAGGAAAACTAAGTACATCAGAGCTTTATCCTGTGCATTACAAGGAGGCAAAAATAGTTGCCACTAGAGCTTTATCCTACATTAGTTCCCCTATCATACTGAGGAACCCTAGAGAGTAGAGACAGCCCCTCTGATTCCGCATCCCGGATTCGACCGGCTCAACTAAAATGGCCTTTAGCTGGATGGGGTTCTGCCAAAACTCGTGGCTACTTGACTAGCTAGCTACTTCATGAGCTCTCATGAAAGTTGAGGGATCTAGACAACGCAGCTGGATTTGCTCGCAAAGCGGGAGAGGATTCAGAAACGGTTTTCTTTTTGTCACTCTTTGACTGGAAAGCCTTAAACAACCCTCCGCCACTGATGGAATCGTTCTTGATTCCGAGCGTTGCCCATATTGAACTCTTTGCAGCTTCCCTCGGATCATCAATCCTTAATGTTTTTGGAACCAAAACACATCCATTTTTCTGTCTTGATGGCTCTTCTTTCTCCAAAATTTCTGGTTTTAGAACGTCTTCGTCCCTTGAGTGCTTCCCCAATGTTGGAGAATTTGAACCAGAGCGGGGAGACTTTTGGTTTGGAGAAGCGGGTTGTGGACCAAACCAAGGAACGTTCCAAGTGCCGGGCACACCACAGTTCCAATAAGGTGCAGGACAAAATGATAGAGGAAATCCTGGAGGACAAAAAGGCGGTGGGGGAACTGCTGCATTCCATGGATAAGGCCAGGGAACACCGGGAAGACAAGGAATTTGCGAAGAGAAGCCATTGACATTCTGCACATGTGGTTTTGAAACATTTACAGAAGATGCACTGGAGCTATCATCGCCATTGTCCCTAGCTTTGCAAGGAGATGGAAATACCTGTTCTTCGCTTTTATGTAAACCATTTCGAGTACCATTTGGAACCTTTTTATCTGCAGGATTTAGAGAAGAAGCCATAGAATCACAAATAGGTGCATCCACTCCGAAGCTGAGGACTCTACCATTGCTTTTTAATGCAGGGTGGTGAACTCCATTTGGAGCATCAATCCGAGCTGCTTCAAGAGCCTCGCTAATGGTCATGTGGCGATAGTGTGAGGCAGAGTTCTTGTTTTTGCGACGTCCAGCTCCCACAGGCACATTCCTCATGGTACCGCCTGCTGTCCAGTATCTTTGACAGGCTTTACAGAAATGGCGTGGTTGATTCACGTTGTAATTGTTGTAGTAACAAAATTTAGTGTCCATGCTATTGCAGCGGGGGCATGGAAGTATCTTGTCAGGCTTCTTCAGGGTTTTCTCTTCCGAGTTTTCAGTACTCTGTTCTTTCTCCGTCTGAGCAGTTTTTGTTTGTGCACTTTCTTCATCTATAGAGGGTGTCTTCGGGTTCACATCAGAACCTGGTAATGTTTCCAGATTTGTAGGGTCTTCAGATTTTGGTTGAGAACCATCATCTTGTTCTATGCTCTCAGTCGATTTTTGTGACGGCGAATCCTGAAATTTTAAAAATACGCTTTAGGAACAAGTATCGCAAAATAAACTTGAAACAAAATGGAATCGATCAATTTGACCTACAAGAAATGAGTACTCTAAATTTATGTGTTTACAAGGAGCTTTCTTCTTTTTTCAACAGAAAAGTGATCATCTTTTGCCTTTTTATCCTTTTTGTTGCAAGTTTGGTTGTACTATAGTTTCACTCACACAATCAAATCTACTGAAACTTCTACAAATTGGAGAATCCAAATTACTCTGTTACATAAATCCAAGAAGTCCAGAAAATTAATGAAAACAACAGTTCAGAAAATCAATAGACAAACCTTCCAATATTCCTTTCATATTGATAAAAAAAAATTATACGAAGGCAACAAGGCCAGCAATACTTTATACACAGAAGGTTGGACGGTTAAGCATCAACACGTGTAAAAAAATGTGCGGAGATAAAAATGCTTCGTTGAATTTGTGGCACACGAGAAAGGATAAGACTAAGAACGAGGATAATCGATATAAAGTAAGAGCAGCTGCAATTGAAGAAAAAAAAGAAAAAATCAATTAAGATGGTTTAGACACATGAACCGAAGATCTACAGAAGTTTGGTTAAATGATGCGATTATGAGACAGGCTCAGGGCAAAAAAGACAGAAAAACTTTGGAAAACTTGGATAGCGACTCGAAGAAGACATGGAGTACTTAGAGCGCAAAATCGAGCGCGGTTTAGAATTCAACGGGCCTATCTCACTTAGTGAGATAAAGTTTTTTTGTTGTTTTTATTCATAAAAGAAATTTTAAATCTCACAGCTGAAAACCTGGCTGCCTAATTAGGAAAAAAATCAAGAAGCACAAACAGTTTCACAGTTTTTAATCTGCAATCACTTTTAAAAAAAATCTAATTAGCTAGTGGCATATGTAAATTGAACTTAACTAACCAAAACAATTAAACATCGAAGTAACAACATGAATCAATTTTATACTTTTTCCAAAAGCTGGATCGAAATTCATTGATTGAAAATCTTTCATTCATAACAAAATTGAATCAAACAATCAAAAGGCAACAAATTTTCCATTCCAATTCTCAGATGGCCAAAAAAGGATCAGAATTTCCATTTCCTTTCCCTGATTCTTTCATCTTCTAGACTTTAAAAGTTAATTAAACAGGATTAAAAAAAAATCAAACAAAAAAAGAAGAAAAATGAAAACGAATAAAAAAAAGGAGCTCGACCCATCAAAGCTCCCTGCCATTTAACAAAAGGGTCGAATCCAAACAAACAATTTAAACAAGAACTTTCTCTCTCAGTTACAAACTGTTACCTGCTCAGTCTCTGCATCTTCTTCCTCCTCTTCGCACTCCTCTTCCAATTCTACTTCCACTTCTTTCTCCACAGGGCGAGCAAAACCCAGGTCCTCGATGTCGGCGGGGAGGGAAATCTTCTTCCCGAAGAGCTTGATCGCGGGGTCCTTAGTTTCGAGCATTTTCTCGGCAGCCAAACAGTGGAAAAAGAGGCGCGAGCGTTGGAGGTGGTGTTTTCCTTTTCTTTTCTTCTGGGGGAGAGAGTGGTGGTGGCATTGGGCGTGGTAAAACCTCGTCTACGATTTTGATCCGTTTAAAAATAGTTGGAAGTGGTGCCACGTCAGCATATGTGGTTTGATTCTCAGCCACATGTTCTTGTGGCCTCAAGATTTTCCTTGTCAATTTTCTTTTGGATTCTCACTCTCTCTGATGCATGGAATTTCTGTGCTACATGTATCTAATTCTTGTTTTCTGGATTTTTTTGGTATGTGCCAGTATTTTTCACATTTTTAACGTTGAATTTATTGATGGATTTTTAGTTGTATTTGAGAGATTTTAATTCTTTTATAAATATAGGGGTATTTAATTAGAATTTTAAGTGATCTCTGAAATTCAAATTGTATTCAATCAGGATTTTAAGATGGTAAATTAAAATCCTTTTAAATTCGAGAATATTCAATTATGATTTTAAAGAAGTTTATCTGGGTGTATTCAATTAGAAATTGATTTTAAAGAATTTGAAAAAATTGAGGAACTCGAGGGAATTTAGGAGATTTCGTAGTATATTTTAAGTATCCATAAATCTCACATCTTCTCATAGATTTCGAGGGAATTTAATCAAAATTTTACATAAAATCTCTACAAATCAATTATATTCCATAAAATTCTATGGGTTTATATATCTATTAAAATCTCTCAATTTTTCAATTGAATACATCATCCGAATAGTTTATTCTTCTTGTGCTATACATACATCGAAGTATAACAAATTCATTATCACCTCAAATTAGATCACACGAAACGCGATTTTCAACCTCGGGTCGATATCTAAAATGCCCCATGCCCTCAATAAGTGAATAGCAAATGCCAAATCACAAGAAATTTTCAAATTCTTTTTAGAAACAAAAAAATTGAAAAAAAAAAAAAAAAGTTTGGTTGCACCTAGCTACATGTTACATGATTATTGGACATGGTTGTATTTATGAGTATGCATTTGGGATATTTTAGTTTTGGTATGAAATTTTTCTTTTAGTAATGCTAAGGAGATCAGATATATAAACTAAATTTTGTGAACTACAAGGTGTGGTTGTTAATGATTAAATTATTACTTAAGTATTGAATCATGCTTATTTTGTATTGTTGACATATCATTTAATTTGTACACTTAATTGAAAATTTTAGCCTACCTACCATTACCATTTTTATTTTTAGTAACCCCACAAACCAATTCACTTGTGTACAAGTATATGAGACACTAGTGGCCACATCATTTAATAAGAGGAGAAGCATTGTAAAATACAAACGTTCATTCCTAGTACTTCATGTCTACTACATGTTTGAGCAATTTGAAACCAATTGAAGATTACATGTGGATAAAAAAAAATTGAAGATCATATGTGACCTAATATCTTAGTGAATAGAGTGTTAGTTTTAACCATGTGTTTTGCATTCAAAACTCTACATCATCTAAATTATTGTATTAGTTTCAAACTAGCACGATCTTCTATTTCTCTCTTCTTGTGTGCAACTATATTGTGCACACCAAATATTAGATGAAATGCTTGACAGTTTTCATAATTACTCCATAATTTTTTATAGTTAGTTACCATTGACAAGCCTTTACAGACAATAGTAGTTGTTGGCATAATAAGCCTTCAGAAAATGTTGTCAAGAATTGACAAGTTTCTATTAGTGCTCGATGAAATGGTTCAATGAAGTTTTCTATTGTAAAAACCATAACTCTATTATTTGAAAATTCTTGATTCCGCTACTAAAAATAGCCATTAATGAAGTTTGAGACAATTACTTATACTGACTCGTATGTAGGTCCACAATGTACGTAATGTAAGAGAAATAAAATAAAATTCAATTCCATAGCATTGGCCGTATGTTTGAATTTTGGTTGCATGACTCTCATTTACGAAATAGATTGATACAACTCTATTTACCATGTATCACGTGTTACAATACTCATATTATAAATAACTGAAATCGTTTTTTATTAAAATATTTTTAGAACCGATCATTTATAAAAATGTAAATAAATCCTTGAAATACACTTAATGTGCTTTTTGGAAAAATAACATAACTGATTATTGTAGAAAACACTTTAAATACTTTTGGAATTCAAAAATATTATTTTATAAACGTTTGCATTTATTTTAATAATACTTTCAAATGAATTGTAAATGTTTAATTTCAGATCAGGACAAAGTTTGTTGCCACATCAGCTGTAGAAACAATTCAATGGGGTCCACCCAAAAAGCTCAAAGTTGAAAAGCTTGGAAGCATTTTTGCTCACCATCATAAATTATGATGTATGTTTATTATACAACTAATCAATCGACACATGTCATTTAACTTAATCTTATTTAATTTTTTGCAAAATTGAAAAACTAACATTTAATATGAAAGTTAATTAGAACTAAATGAAATGACACGTATCAATTGATTAGGTGTACGGTAAGCATACACTATAATTTATAATTTATGATGGTGAGCAACAATGTTCCCCGAAAAGCCTTCAAAGTTTCTCTACAAGCTCCCGTAGATAAGCAACACGTGTCCTAGTGCATGACACGCGTAGTCCATCCACCATTTTGTATGTAAGCAAAGCTCTCAAAGGATGACACCAAATCCCCAGTGGAGGAATATTAAGAAATATAAAAGTAAAAAAAAATATGACTTTAGTACAATCTACACGCAGGGACAAAAAGTTCCTAGCATAAGGTTTGGTCTTTCGGTGTAAAAGGTCAAATGGATTTGATTAGTTTAATCACGTACTTATCAGTAGATTTTTTTAGTGTGTTTGAAACTCGGTTCGATATACCAAGTATTATACTACAGTTGATTAATTTTGTTTTTTTTTTCAAGTTTCTAACGAATAGCATTATTACACTTTGTGTATTAAACCGTGTTCTCGACACATTGAAAAACCGCTTGTGAAGATAGTGATTGTATTATATATATGTTGTCAAATCTTAAATGTTAAAACATTGATAAACAAGTCTTTTTTTTTTTTATCAAAATTAAACAAGTCTAATTAGGTAGTTAAAGTTGATTTGTTTAATGTCGGATTGGACCAGTGGGCGGTTAAGGATTTTACTATCTTGTTTTTCAATTAGGAGGCTTATGCCAGACATTTGATTTGGACAGGATAAACAAATAAACTTGATTAAGATGAGATTAGGATGAAAGTTGGAAAGAAATTTCCCTTAATTATGATTAAAGTAAGTTGCTTTGTCAGTGTCAATGAGGTTGAAAGTAATTGTAATATGGCCCATATTTTATGGGCCTTGAGTAAAGTCTCAAGGCCAGTGAAAACTTTGCCAGCGGGCACAGAGTGAGGTCCATTTGACCTCCCAAATAGTGTAAGGTGTCCCAAACCCAAAATCAAAATGCAAAAGTCTCATCGATCATCCCATCTTCGGAAGAAAAACTTGCCTATCTACGTAAAATGGAGAAGACTCACTAGTCATCAGTCATCGTTTGAAGGAAATCTTACATATCATGAGTTCGTGTAACCTATACTTGAACGATTATATCAGACTATCTCTCTCAACTCGCTAAACTTCGAAAGAAAATTTGCCTATCTACGTGAACGTTTCATGTAAGTTGTAAAGCACATGAGCTCAATGTGAATTGTGTGACAAATTGATCCTTATGGTATGAAAGGATTGACTAAATTGGGTGAGATCAAGCAAGGATCATCAACGGACAGCATCCCATCTGAAAGGGTTGACTAAAGTTCGAGCAAAAAGTAGCATGATAAATATTGAAGCATGCAAAAGCAGCAGAAAGTAGAGTGATTATTCTGAAAGGATCCTTTAGCTTTTTCTTGCTTTATCTTTTTTACTTTTTCAGCCCCATTTCGGATAATTAGGCTTTTAGCTTCACATTGTAATTAGTTAATTGATTTTGTTAATTAATTTCTGGAATTGGCTAATTGACGCAACATAAAGCTAAAAGAATTACAAGCATAATTCCTTGAAGGACAAACTTCTAGAATCCATCAGTTTTGAGATGAGTTCCAAAGGGTTTGTTTAATTAATGATTGAAAGATGATCACAATAGGAGTTGGCCAATATCTTAAATTACCCGATCACAGAACCCTACGGTAACTCAAGGGGTCTTAGGAAATTAAATGAAAATAAAACGACATTAATTGGACGACAATAAAATGTTCGATTTTTATTACAGAATTTAACATGTAATTATGGAAGTCTAAATAGCTTCACATAGCCAAAATGTATCATATGTCACAACGAAGCGGAGTGTTTGAACCGTTGCGTTGTTCTCTTTCCAGAAAGATATCATAGCCCTAATCAGAGCTCGGACTCCAAATATACAAACTCACACTACGTCCTTTAAACTTCTATCGGCCCATCTCCTCTTCAATCTACTCAGCCATTTATTCTACGTCACTAATACATCAGCCAGCTTGTTTGTTTCATTGTCAATGACTACTTGAACCATGTAAGTGCAGTGACACACCAAACACACACCAGAGCAATGTGAAGCTTAATTGGTGATTTATAAAGTCAAACAGTTTAAAGTAAAAGCATGACAACTTGATCCCAATATGTCTACTGAAGTCAAAACAAAGTTGAATGGTTAAATTGATTGTGTTACCAGCCAACTGTAATTATGTTATGCACTTATCATCCAACCAGATCATTGTGTCTTCTTTTTGGAAAAAAAAAAAAGAATCGTAACAAGAGGAGGTCATGAATAGGAAAAGTAAAAAAATAAGGAAGATAAGGAATGGAAATGAGACCAGCTACTGCCCTAATCAATCTAATTTATAGTGTTTTTAGTTTTCAATTACAAATCCTAATGTAAGAGTCATATACTTTTTTGAGTCCATACATGTCACGATGTTAATAAACGCATGTGAAATCATCTATCATACTAACTTTAATATCCATGCATCAGTAAACGCAGAAAAATTAGGAATCGAAAATTCTACATATTTGACTAACTTCTTCCATGTAAACATGTCATCATCTTCTACAATTTTTTTTTTCAAACAAGTGATAATTGTAATGCATAACTACATGCTATCACATTTGGTGGTTGTTGTTTGTTTTCCCTACCCCTTAGTTGACATGCCACTAAAATTGAATCCCAAAAGTCTAAGTCCATATGCCTTTGCTTTTTTAGTGAGTTTCTTCTTCCAATTCAATTTGCTTTTTTAGTGAGTTTCTTCTTCGAATTCATTGAATATCCTTGTGCTCCAATGATGATGACTCCCACTAAACCTTAACCTACAATTTAGTGCATGACGCCTTGAGCTCAAATTTTGCCACAAAATCATCCTTTGTGTCACCTCCACTACCATATTTACTTAAATATCATTTCCCCCACTCAACAATTTCCCCGCAATCTCACTGCATTTTTGGGTAAATTCCACCTCTATGGTTCACACTTCTCTTCTCTTTCACCTTATTGACTTTTGCCAAATCCCAGCAACACAAAAAAAGGTGATCTCGAAAAGCAGCTTTTTTGAGTTGTATAAATTGAGTAGTGATAGCTTTGAGACAATTAACATTCAACTTCATAGAGAAAATGGCAAGCAGTCTCCTTCATGTGCTTGTGATCTTGCTAGGGTTTTCTCACCTTGTCTTCTTGAATGCCATCCCAGCTACAAGTAAACTTTTAACAACTTTCTGCTTCTGCATCTTCTTCTTCTTATTCTTTTCCTTATTGTTCTCATTTGCTTTTTACAACATGCAGGAATTGGAAGCTTAAATCATGGACCTCAACTTCATCAAATTGCAGGAAGTAACAAACTGGTATTACTCCATATTTTCGATATTATAGTTCTTCACAACTCGCGAGGATCCTCTAAGGATCTTAATATACATGTAGTCATAGTACAGGTGTCATGTAACACAACTCGCGAGAAGCACTTCTAGGAAAATATATATGTGTTGAGTTACTAGCCTTCCATTAATTAATTTTCATTTTTCAAAACAGGTAACCACAGAGAAGAGTTATAAAGAGCAAGCTATCACTGAAAGAATGGATGTGGAGCTTCATGACTACCCGGGTTCAGGCGCCAACAACCGCCACACACCGAGGCCGCAGTCTGAAAGATGCTCCGATTGCTAGTTTTCTGTTGGAACTATTGGTTTTAAGGTTTACATTGAACTGTTATGTATGGAAGTATTGTAAACGATATTTTTGTTGCTAGATCAGTCATTTAAGTTTATTGTTTGGGGTTAGACGGAGTAGGAATGTAGGAACTAAATGCATTACGTGAAATGAAATCATGGATTAACGCAAATTTATATGTACAACGGTTATGATGACTATTAATTTGATCAAGCAGAATGAATGTATGAGCTTTTGATGTTGTTGATAATCTCATTAACTATGTGCCTAAGCTTTGACTTTCGTTAGTTCATATAATTAAGCAGATTATTTCACAATATAGAAGATTATTGGCCTCTTGTTATATGAGTGAAAAAAATCATATGTAAGTTGGAAATTTCATGGCCATTTGATAGTCAATATAAGGACTGCAAAGAGTGAAATTTTTGGGGCAAAACCTCCAAGAGTTAAAAACACATTTTTGAATTCGCAAACCATAATTCTAACTGTATATAAAAATCTTCCTAAATCTTGATCATCACTAAGAAGTAGTTGTTAGAGAGCATTTCATTTCTCTAGTGTAGGAGCAATCACTTATTGTCACAAAAGAAAATTAAAACACTTAAATAATGCTTAATTGACTTAATGGTGAAGATCTACCTTAAAGTTGCAAACAGCTGATATCAACGAATATTTATTTAAGAAATCGTTGCTGCCTAAGGAAAAGGCTTTACCCAAACGAAAAATCAAAGGCCCATCCACAAAACAAAAGAACGACCAAATGGAGTAAACACAACAATACCAAAGTAAATGACCCATTTACCCTTTTCCTCAATTCTAACCAAATATTCTCCAAGAAGTTGTTGCATTTATTTAAGGGGTGTGATATCCACACATCATTTTTTACTTCTCCCATACTCTTCTAATATTCGGTCTTCGGATCGAAGAAATTGAAGAATATCAAAGGACAAAAATTAACGAAGAGTGTAAAAAGTAAAATGGGGTATGTGGATAGCATTCCCTTTATTTAATTATAAGAAACATTGCTGTATAACTCCTAATTCTTTGGTTGCACTTTCCTAGTTTTCTTATATATCATTTATTTGGTAGATGTATACGTAGTAATATGGCTAGAACAGATGTACTTGCCCCTATACACTTGAGTCCCAACCCCCTACAATTTAGATTAACTAGTTTAAAGTAGATCATATCATGGTATAAAATCAAAGAATATAATCATTTCATTTCTGTTAATATTTTCTAATGAAACTCCATGTTTAGTATACTTTCTTGCAACAAAATATGTTTTGGGTGATACAAAATTTCTTGTTGGTATGAATTTTCTTATATATATTTATCACTGAATTGGTTAGAAGGAGAATTTCAAATCTGATTAATGAACTAATTCGTCTAGCTATAAAAAATGATGGAAAATTGATATGTATTAAACCAGCGGTGTTTCACTTTGTTATCGATATATGGTAATTCCCACCAAAGTATAATTTGAGATCAAATGATGGAGTATGGGGCGAAGAAATCGTCCTGAATTGAATGGTGTTAACTGCCAAGGAATTGACCCAAATGGACCGCAGAGCATCACTTTACATGGAATAGTTTCAATTGTAATCGAGCTAAAAAGATTCTTAAATATGGGTCAACAATCCTATTTTTAATGCCACTTTACATAAAAATTTTGCAAATTTTCAAGTAAAAATAGGATTATTTTCACTAAATTGGTTTTTGTTTGTTGACAAAGGCAATAAAACACGTTTACGGCTCTACTTTTCAATGAAATATTTGCCAAAAGTTGGATATATTGTATGTCACTAGTTTAATTTCTAAGAGTTGGGGGGGGGGGGGGGAGGGGGAGAGAGAGAGAGAGAGAGAGAGAGAGAGAGAGAGAGAGAGAGAGAGAGAGAGAGATGGATCGCATGAGGGAACTGGGAGGGACAAAGAAGGAGGTGACCAGTCCTGTGAAAGAAACTCGCAGCACGCCCAACCAAGTTGAAGTGATCAACATAGAGGATGACATCGCTCAAGGTGTAAAATTATATTACTCTAGTTCTACTTTCTAAAGCACACATTTCTTTTGCACACATTTCTTTCTTGTCCGGTTCACGTTCAATTTCTGTTAGGTTTTCGCATATGAGAGTGATACGTTTGTTGCCTGCAAGGGGTGGCAACGGATCGTGTTCAGCCGGTGTCGTGTTTGTGTCGATCATCCAAGTGTTAGATCAACATCGCAAATAGATATGAAATAAAATATGATAACACAACAAATTATGCTATTCATCAAAACAAGGAGAAAACCTAATGTTTTATTATTATCATATCATGTGAACAGTTCTTGGATGTGTTTTATTCGTGATAATCATGTATGCATCAGATTGACCCAAAAAATCATGTATACATCAGATCATATATTAGGGTTTATGGTTTAGAGTTAATCAGTGATGTTCTTTGTACTTTTTTCTTCTTTCTTTTGTAGTGGTGGGTGTGAAGAATTTCACCTGGGAAATATTTTTTCTTTTCCTTTTTTTTTTTTTTTTTTTTTTACGTAAACGTTTTGTAAAAGCTTGAGGTAAGCAACTAGGTTTGATTTTTGAGCATTTTATAACAAATTTCTTTGCTTGCTGAAAAACGACTGAGATTTTTGGCTCGATTTGGATACCAGATAAAAAGAAAAGATATAAGATAGAGGGCTCCAGTGTGGATCAAGCTGATTGCTTTGCTAAAGTGTCAGTTCAAAGTCTACATGAGGTAATTATTGTTGTTTTTTCTCCTAATTAATTCAGGAATAATCAATTTTCAATTACTGAAATGATTAATAAATTCTAATTGCTGAAATTATCGATTTTCTGAATGTCATTGATATCTAATCATCGTCAATATTTGAATGATATGTCGTCAATGCTTGATTTTTACCAATTTAGCAACTGAAATTCGATTACAATCATTTTAGGCAATGTCCCTAATTATAATTTTGATTTGGCTGTTGGTGTGACTTGTTCGATCTAAATATAATGTTGTCAGGAAAACATGAAGCTCCTCCAACTTGTTTCTGAAATCAAGAATGCAAAGGTTGTCACTTTATCAATCTAATTTGGCTACACTATTTTGTTAATTATGATTTATTTTTCTTTAATTTCTCTTTGACATATTATATACTGAATGTGTTCACAGAACACCGAGATCTTGCCTAAACTTTTGGAAGACAGGACGTATCCTTTCCCTGTGCTACGTATTTGATCATTGATTTATTGTTTTGGTTTTTTCATTTGTCACTTTAACTTTTGGGATTCTTAATTCAGTTGTAAAGCAAATATGTGGAAAACCTTGTAGAGTTGGAAAGAATACGAGAGGCGAACAAGGTGCTTGTTAAGGAGGATAGGGTAAGTTCAACTCATGAAGTCGCAACGCGTAGTGATGATGATTTCGCATGGATTAACCAGTTGTGTATGAATTTTAAGATTATTAAACTGGACGTTGTTTTTCCGTATAAATCTGTTCATTTACACAGGATGTAAAGGTGAAGAAGCCGGAAATTCAGAAGACTGATGTAGAGAGGAAGAGGCCTGCTGAGAAGAAGCTAGAACTTCAGAAAAAGGATGGGAGAGAGAAAGCTTGTTCCCTCTAGACCTGGTAATTAACTTGACATCTCATGCGTTTGAGATTTTGGCATCTTCGAACGTCCTGGTGTATGCCTGCAGCTTTGCGGCCTACTACTGATGAAATAGAACAAGCTAAAGCGGAGGCTCGCAAGAAGATGATTCCCTGCCCTCGCTGTTTCAGCTTGAGAACAAAATTTCACAGCTTCTCCAATTACAATCTTAGTAAAGACATATATGGAGGGATTGCAAAAGGCTGTGGGTGGTAGGCGCAAGCTTGAGGAATTAGTGTTAGCAACTCTTAAAGCCAGGATTTGCTTGTGGAATTATTTAAACTGATTTCTTACAACGAGTAGGTTTCTTGCAGTAGACGGCATTAGGTTAAATTTGATTAATGCCAATTTATGATGTGCTGAAGACCTTATTAGTGAGGACAGTTTTGTTATTTGGATTATGTAGAATGGTCGACAATTATAGTCAAGTTCAAACTCCATGAAAAATAGCAGATGGTGCTTTACCGCTGTGGTGGAAAACAATTATATGTCTATGCATGTTGGTGCGGGTTCAATCTCCACCGAGTCCCATCTCCTCTAACAACTAACTATTTAACCTACCAACGCTATCGTTTGTCAAACAGAAAAAACTTCGTGGAAAATAGACAGCAGTGTAAAATTTTCAATTTGGCTATCAAAATTCTGAAAGGACTAAATATTGATCAAGGTACATTAACATACCTTATTTATTTGGATTGCTTATCACATTGTTGAAGACATCGCCGAATCGGTAGCTTCAGTTAGGAAGCTTGCTTCCAGCTTTGTTGGCTGAGAGCTAGTTAGTTTGTTCTATCTTGGCAATTTGCCGCGGATTGAGTTCGTGCTCGATATTAAGAGTCAAGCGGCAAGGTCTAAGATGTTAATCAGGAAGAATGATAAGCTTGAATGCAGAAATTCTAGAGAGAGAAAGAGAGGATTCGAGAGAAGCTGAGAGAGAGAGAGAGAAACTGTATCTTGTTATTTATATTCTTAGCTTCTAAGCTATTACATCATAAGGGTATATATACAAGAATCTTCACACCTCCACATCTCAACTATCATAACTAACTTTTCTAATCTCATTACAAGTGTCACAATCCTATCCATCAATTTACTTCATGTATTATCTCTATCATAAGGTTTGTAATTTGAAAATTTTATGGCCATTTGATGCTCAACATGTAGTGGCTTTATGGCCAGACTATGTGACATTTTTATAGGCAAAATGTCCAACAACCAGAAACACAACATGTTTGAGTCTTTGAGACCACAACATGTTTGACAATATGTGATCCGAAACTTCATGGGAATCGATGCTTAACTTTATAGGGAAAATCAGAAACATATATTTTTGAGTTGACAAATGAAATTATAGTTGTATGTGAATGGCTATTAATGAGTACTATAATTTGTTTGTGGAAGCAGTTGTAAGCAGCCCGCCGGCTTTGGAGCAACCACGTAATGCTATGCGGGAAAATTAACATCAAAGTAAAATGCTTAAAGTAGAATCCATAAACTAACATCAAAGTAAAATGCTTAAAGAAATCATTGCTTTCTAAGGAAAAATGCTTCATTATGATAACAATAATGGGGAGGCAAATTACACAATTAGCTTACTGAAAAAGAAATTGAAAGGCCAATCCATATAAGAGAAATTTTTTGTATAAGACGGGAAAAAGTTTCACTTCTACTAAATTTTTTGTGCACAAAACTGGACTAATCTTATTATAAACTTTTGAGTGAACAAAAGAAAACCTAAAATCGGAGCATTGATATCTGGAATTTAACCTAATTCGGCTTTGATTTCTAAACTAAAAGTTCGTGAATATTAGTTCCTAAACTTGTAACACTATGGAGTACTTATTCTTTTGACAAACATCGTTAGAACTTCTGTTCAATATAAAAGCTTTAGAAAAACAAAATAAGGGACGAAAATTATTCAAAAAGACTATTTTTTTTTTTTTCCGATTATGACTTCTCTTGTAGCAATATTTCCCCATTTTGAGTCAATGACCAACTCCCAATTTTCCTTCAAGTCGCGCACTTTTCCCCTCGTTTTCTAATTTCTAAATTCAGACCAGTAAGAACCAGCTAGAGAGAGAGAGAGAGCCAGAGAGAGAGATGGTTCGCCTGCGGTTAACTGGAGGGACAAAGGCGGAGACAACCAGTCGTGGGGAAGAAACAGGCGACCAAGTTGATTTAATCGACTTACAAGGTGACAGTGCTCAAGGTTAATTTCTCCCATTTCTTTCTTTTTGGTGGTTTAGGGTTCACATATGGGAGTCATCATTCGGTCGTTGCTGCAACTATGATTTATTTGCATTTTTTTTTTCTTCCGATTTTCAGCTGGGAAATGTTTTTGTGTTCTTCTTTTCATGCAAAAAGTTATAGGAGTTTGAGATAAAAGTAATTGAGAAATGTTTTTGTGTTTTTTGTGTTCTTCTTTTGGGAAATGTTTTTATTACCAATTTAAGTGCTTCGCGAAAAAGCACTCTCCCAAAAAAAAAAAAATAGCACACTTAAGCATTTTTAAGTTCTTCCAAATGTAGCAAAAAGCATTAGTTGTCAGAAAGTACTTGTAGCTCTTCCAGGAAGAAATCTTTAAAAAATGGCCGTTAGAATTTTTCGGCCTTTTGTAAGATCATGCTTTTGGTTTGCTTTTTTTTTTTTAAGTAAACAATAGATTTGTTAGATTATATGTTCGATTAGGGAGAAGCAGTTTAATCCCAGGCCGTAGTGCAAGGGCAACACTCCCCTACATTATTGTGGTAGAGGGCCACTTGCTAAGATTACTCATTGTTGAAGGCCTTAAAACTGACTGATATTTCTACCGGAAGCACATTACAAGCGTTTTTAAATTTTTATTTCAAATGTAGTTAGAAGCATTTTTAGTTGTCGGAAAACGCTTTTAGTGCTTCTGGAACCAAATCCCGAACGGGACCTGAGAATTCTTGGACTTCCTGTAAGATTATGCTTTGCCTAAAAATATTAACTGCGATTTATGGTATGGATACCAGCTGAGACGAAAAAGTATAAGATTGGGGATCAAACTGATGGCTTTGCTAAAGTCTCAATTCAAAGTTTACATGAGGTACAAGATTGCTTCTTCTTTTTTCCCCTGGTAGTTTAATCTTTGATTTGGCTTTAAAAATTAAGTTGGTGTGACTTGTTTGATCTGAATATGTTGTCAGGAAAACATGAAGCTCATCCAACTTGTTTCCGAAACCAAAAATGCAAATGTTGTCGCTGCATCAATCTGGTTTGGCTAATCTAATTGGTTTTTGATGATTTTTTTTTGTTGAATTTCTCTTTGATGTTATTATATTCTGAATGTGTTTACAGAACACCGAGATCTTGCTTAAACTCTTGGAAGACAGGACGTATCCTTTCGCTTCGTGATTTATTTGGTCATTTATTTTCGTTTGTTGATTTTACCATTTGGGTTTCTTAATTCACTTTTGCAAGTAAATGTGTGGAAAACCTTGTGGAGTTGGAAAAAATCAGAGAGGCGAGCAAGGCGCTTGTTAAGGAGGACGACAGGGTAAGTTCAACTCATGGAGTCACAACACAGATTGATGTTATGGATTAACCGGTTCTGTATGTGTACGTATTGTAAGATTATTAAACTGGACGTTGTTTGATGTGTAAATCTGTTCATTCAACAGGATGTGAAGGAGAAGCCGGGAATTCAGAAGCGGGATGTAAAGAGGAAGAGGCCTGCTGAGAAGAAGCTTCAGAAGAAGGATGGGAGAGAGGAAGCTTGCTCCTCTAGACCTGGTAATTGACTCGACATCTCGCGTGTTTGAGATTTTGTCATCTCTGTACTACTGCACCCACATTCTTTTTGACATTTGGTAAATTCCTGCAGCTTTGCAGCCTTGTGGTGATGAAATAGTCCGAGCCAGAGAGGAGGCATACAAGAAGATACTCCCCTGCCCTCGTTGTGATAGCAGGAACACAACATTTGACAAGTTCAGTCGTAACAATCCCAGTAAACCAGTACGTGCATGCAAAGATTGCAAAAGAAGCTGGGTTGCACGCGGGAACTTGGGAAGGGGCTAGTGTTTATAACTCCGTAAAGCTAGGGTTAGTGCCTCCGTAAACGGAGTAGGACTCCAAGATATATATGTACCCACGAGGAGGTGTGCAGATCTTTCTAAATATGTAGAAACTATGTTTTATGGTTGATAATTATATGGAGTCGAAAGTTCATGGCAGATTGATGCTAAATATGTTTAACTTTATGGGCAAAATCCCGAAGATTTAGAAACAAATATATTTGAATTAACAAAACCAAACAATAGTTGTAAGCAAAAAGCTATTCAATAATCACTATGAAGTTGCTTTAGGAAAGTAATTGTAATCAGCAGAGACTGCTGGCTTGATTGTACTACAAGTTATCCCTCTGGTGATAGAGCAATGGCAGGTGCAGGGGAAGGACCATCTGTTTCACCAACGCGCGAGAAACCGAATTTCTTTATGAGTTCCGTGGCAATAAGCTCGTTTGCACTGTCCGATGGATGGTACTCGTCCCAAAACACATATTTGCTTCTGTCTTTGCACAGTACTGATGCAGGGACGCACGTCAAAGCCGGTCGAATTCTTCCAAATGAGCAGCATGGTGAGTCCGCATTGCTGAATCCTGCCATGGTCCGAATTTGAATGAAGAAACGGTCAGTAGAGAAACAAGTAGATATATGAAATGTTTTTGGTTCTGTCTTAACATACCGTATTTGTTTGGATCGCTGATCACGTTGTTGACAACATCATACGCGTCACCAAATCGATAGCTCGCGTTAGGAAGCTGGCTGGACAAATCTTCCATAAGCTTGCTACCAGCTTTGTTGAAGCTGAGAGCTAGTTTGTTTGTTCTATCTTGGCAAGCCGAAGATGAACTTAGCACTCTTTGAAGTGGAATACAACCCATTGGTCCTAGCCCGAACACCATCAGCTGCCTCGCCCCTAGGCTGTGCAACAGCTGCACGGAAGCACGTAAACCGCAAGTCAGGAAAATAACTACGATCAACTGGTAGAAATTAAGATAACTGTGATAATTCTAACCTTAAGTTGCTTCTCTAGAGTTCCCATTAAGTATTCCATGAAAGTTTGATCGTTGTAACTCCACGAATCACTGTAAACAGGCATCAAGTAGTTGTTAATGAAGTCGTTACTGCCTAAAGCAACCACATAACGAGCGTCTTGGAAGAACTTCTCCGCTGCTTGTTCACCGATTTTGCTTCTGATAAGTGTTTGTGTTCCTTGAAAAAGCTCGATCTGCTTGTAGAGCGAAAGCCTCTGAATCTGCATACACATTATTTATCAAATCGTGCACAATCTTAATTGAAAGCTCAATTTTTATGTGTTTTTGTTACATTTAAGGCTGCAACTTACAAAGTAGCCACCGGTTTCATTCAAAATCCCACCACCTCCAGAGGCGTAGTTCACTCCGTTTTCGAGTATCATGTCCTCGTTTAAAGACGGATCGAGAAAGGCCGGGGGCCGTGGGAGCCCCATGGTATCACCTAAACAAACAAACAAGTTTAGCAGAAAAATAAACGCGACAACAAATTCTATGTTTCAGTAACCGAGGTTTTACCAACATGTCATATCTTTAAGAAAGACAGGACGTCATGCACAGAATCGAAACCACTACAACGTACGTTACCTATTATATCAGCAACGGTACGGCCATTAGAGAACCTTCCATTAGGCAGTCCATTGCCCATATCAATGCCATACCAAGGCAGGCTTGCTTGGGCGAGACTCTTGCTCAAGTACTTGTTGTTTCCAACGTCGGAGAGGGAGTCCCCGAATATAAACTGCACGATTTTGCAGTCGTGGCCATCGATGAGGAGGCCGAAGACGGCCACGGCCACCATCATTGCTGCCAACGTTGTGAACTTCATGGCTGAAAAAACTTGAGAAATGCAGTTGTTTTTAAACCTTCCTACGTGAAATCGAAGACTTGGGTTTTGGATTTAAACACAACGTGGGAGAATATATAAGTAGAAGGGTTATTGGGAATTAAGATTTCGTGTGAAATTTGAGTTGCGGAAATTGGGAAGAAGGACTAGAAACTGTGGTGCATTTGGGAAAAACAGAGAGGGTAGCTTAGCTAGCTTGTCTGATGAACCAACTGTTACTCAGTCATACCTAAATGCAACTAACCATGATTTGTCTTTTGTTACAAGTTATATTTATATACTAGTTTACAACAGTATGAGTCCCTAAAGTCCCAATTATTTAGTATTTTGGTGCGTGTCAACGTTTTGAATACTCTTGTATTTTTATAGAAAAATAATTTCCGCACTTTTTTTTACTATTAAGAGAAATCCAAACAATTTAAGAAAATAAATTATGAGTCAAGATGAATTTTCATTTGTGAAAATGTTATAAGGAAGTGTGGGTTCACCTACCAACCAATTTGGCCTTCTCTTTCAACATGTTGGCAAACTATATAGGCTCATTTCCTAAGTTCTTCATAGGAATGAAGTTCAACAATCTTTAATTCCTTGACTTCTCCCCTAATTCCCTATTTTATCAAGAACTTTTTTAAAGGGGACGAAAGGAAAAATAAAATAAAAATTCATTATAGCGTTCTATCAAACCGACATCATCTATAAATAGAATACGTGTTAAATTATATATAAAAACACAAAAATTTTATAATTTATAATCGATTAGATCAAATTTCAAAGAATCCCACGATTCCATATATTATTAACCGTGTATTTTTTTTTTGTTTAATTATTTTTAATTGTTTAATTCACGAGGAGCTGGATGAAAAAAGAAACTTTCGTGTCCGGTTATGTAGAAGAGATGGATGGAATTGCTAAACAACCATCAACTATAACCCCAAAAGAACCAGATTCTGTAAACAACACAGAGGAAAAACGAAAGGAATATCTTATCGAGGTAATCGTTAGGGGTGGGTTCGAAAAATCGAAAACCAAAAAAAATCGAACCGAAAATCGAACTGAGGCTGAAAAAAATAGAACCGAAAAAAAAATCGAACCGAAAGTGTAAAACCGGACCGAACCGAATATGGTTCAGTTTAGTTCGATTTCTGGGGTTCGAAAACCAAACCGAACCGATTATAAGCAAAACGACATCATTTTTTCCTTGAACGGCGTCATTCAGAGTTCACTTCAGTCACTCTCTCTTCACTTCAGTCTGAAAGATTGAAACCCTAAACAGATCCATTCGAATCCCTTTCCTTTCTTTTATCGGCTTATCCCTCTCTTCTGTACTTTCACTCTGGAACTTCAGTCACTCTCTTCTTCTTTCCCAGCGACCTGTGACCTACGACCTGTGACATGTCTCACACATCTCGCCGACGCAACGCCGTCTCACTCTCAGTATCTCACCCCCGTGACCTGTGACCCGCGCACGACCCACTACTTCCTCTCGCCATTTCGAGTCTCGACCAACAAATTCCCTCTTTTGCAAGGTTAGTCTCTTACCTAGTCACCCTCGTGATTCCGGATTCGTTTCGAAGATTTTTTTTTTTTTTAAATTTCATTGGTTCTGATTTGTAGCTTTTCAATTTCATGGATTTTGCAATTTGTTTTGGGTATGCTGGATTTGGTTGGGTAATTTCATTTCACTATTGGACTATTAGTTGAGGTTTGGATTAATTTGTGACAAATTTTGGTTCTGCACTGCAATATGTTTTGGGTATGGGGAGTGTCTGTACTCTGTTGTCGATGATGATTTGGGGAAATTAGGGCTATTGGGGAAATGAAATGAGGGTTGTTGGGGACTGGGGAGTGTCTGCTATGTGATGTTTGCTTGTTCTGCACTGAAATTAGGGTCGTTAGGGTTGTTGGTTTTGCACTGAAATTGGGGTCGTTATACTGTGATGCTTGCTTGTTCTGCTATGTGCAATTGTGCATGTTACTATGTTAGGTTCTGTTATCTGCATGTTAGGTTCAATTTTGGGAAAAAAACTGAACCCAGCCCTTGTTGTTGGTGGCACCCAAAAGAGATGCACATAATGGTGCAACTGCATCTGATTAACCCAGCCCTTGTTGTGATAATAGTTTACTAATTAAAAGCTTATAATGGTGCATTTGAGATTACAGTGCATGTTAGGTTCGGTTTATACAAGGCATGTTAGGTTCAGTTTCATGACCATAATGACAAATGTTTATTTCCTATCTTTCCTTTGACAATATATATATATATATATATATATATATATATATATTCCATTCAGCAAAATCTAGACTACTGTCTGTTTGAAATTCAAATTTTTGTTCTTCATTGACAATATCAGGTATAGTTCCTAAATTTGATCTAGAGCTAGTGCTGGCCATAGAATTAGATCTAAACAATCTACTCATACTTAGAAATTCAAACAATCAAAATACAGAAACCTTAACAGAAAATCTTACTAGTGCTTCTAAACACCAAGCTCTCTGGGTCATGCGCGCCGCTCAGGCCCTATCCTCCGGGACTTACTGTTTGGGTGACGCCTTACTGCTCAGACCTTATGGAGATCAGGAGACACTAAAAGGTTAAACTGAAAAGATTAACTATAAAGGGACTGAATAAATCTAAAAGTATAAACAGAGTATTCAGATACTAATGGTATAACCAACGACACTTGGCTCTGATACCAAATGTGTGCGGAAGTAGGGTAACATATGAAGCCGGAAATATCCGATATATGTATTTGGAAATTCAAAGAATTTGATTAGTATCAATATAAAATTTTTAGGATTAATAACAAGAGCATATATAAACAAAACTAAATTTAAAATAGATTTAGTATTCATGATGATTTAAATTAATGATGCAGATATTCGAGAGAAAATATATTTATTGAAAATCAAATAAGACTTACAGAAGTCTCGTCTATTGACGATTTGGAAAATTAAAGACGGATCTTGGAGCTCGCAGGCATCCTTGATTACTTAAAATTAAAATATATTTATATTACAATATTTATGCTGAGAAGCTGTAGACTCTGTGCGAAGTGAATACGCAGAGTTTTTTCTGTCTCCGAAGAAGCCCCCTGTCCTCAGAGCCGGGGAGTCCCTATATAGAAGGAGGAGGTGATGCGGAATGATTGAAGGCTGGAAGCGGGATTCCCGCTTGGCATGTGCTCCTGCTGTAAAGAGGCCGAAAGCAGAAGATGCTGTCAGAGACTGTGTCATTCACGAGGGTGAATACTGTGGAGGAAATGATGGATGAATAGTAAAAGTGATTTTACTATTCATGAATAGTGCCTTGTCTGCTACTGCTGTTTTCACTTGCGGCTGGCTTTGTCTTCATATGCAGCTATTACAAAATACTCTACTGAGTCTAGATACAAAGTATCTTACTTAGACTACAATCATACGAATTTAGAAATTCCTATACATGCTATTACAAGTTTAAAATTCGTATGGGTCTTGAGAATCAGGCGGGAAGATATTTCCTTGTGTGGCTACTGCGCACTGTGATGAAGCATCCGAAGAGTTGTCGGAGTCCGATCCATCTTCATTTTCTTCTTGCAATTCCTTCATGAGAATTTTGGCTAGAGCCTTGAGCTTTGTTGATTTCTTTTTCTTCGAACTGCTCGAAGATTTGGATGACTTGGTTTGGCCCTTGAGAGAGGAAGAAGGACTAATGTCCGATAATGAATCGATTTCTTCCTTGGTTGGTTCTGGTAAAGCTGAAGCTGGAGGAGCTGCTACTGCAGGTACTGGATTAGAACTTATGGGGAAGTCCCTGAGCACGACTTCAATGATCTTCTGGTAGTCGAACTTGTCCACCATTTGATCATTCTCTGTCGGAAGACTTGATTGGATTCAATCTCGTAATTCCAGCGGAGGATCCAGGGGACCTTGTATTTTGCCATGAATAGGGCGAACAAAGGGATTCCTTCATCAAAACGTGTTCTATTGAACTTCTTCTGGAAAGTGCCTGATAAGACTTGCTTGAATTCGTCAGGCATGAGGTCAGAGATAAGGCCATGTTCTGACCACCATCTGGGAAACCATGCAGGAAAATTCAACCTGAAACTTCGATCAAAGGTTATGAACCATGAATGACTAAAATCTTCGGATTGGTGCAAGAAGATGTTAGTCCAGGCTTGAATGTAATCAAAATAGGTATAATGGTTTGAGTGACTGGGAAAGCTACTGCTTTTAAAAGGCTTGGGCTGGAAAAGTGGAACTTGCCATTCGGATTCTAACAAGAATTTATTAATGGTAAGGGAATGATACAAGATTCTGTTTTGGTTACCAGAGGATTTATTAAAGATAGGTTTTATGGTGACGGAAGAAGTCTCATTGAGAATAGTGGTATAGTATTTGAGGGTTTTGTGGAATTCACTTGGCTGAAAATGGGAATTGGTTGGAAACATCTTTTTGGTTATGACCTCAGGTGTTTTCAAATGTTTGAAATTGAAGGGAATGCTAAATAAGTATTCTTTGGATGGTTTAATAATATAAGGAGATGCTTTGGTATAACTTACAGAGGGGGATGGCGATTGCCTGTAGGTAGAGGAGAAAGGATCATACTGGTTTACTAACGCTGTTTGGTAATTTGGTCGGATACTTCCTAGTGTTGATCCTAATGGAGTAAATCTATTGGTGATGGCTAAGGCCGAGGAACCGGGAATAGGTTCCTGTTTTAGTGGTGGTAATGAGGCGGGAAGCCTCCTTTGTTGGCTACTGCCTTGTGGAGAAGCTGTGTTCTTATTAGACATTCTTCCCCTGCAAAAATTCTCTGGTTAGGAAATCTGGAATGCAGTTATGGCTGCCTTTAATGTATTCGATTTCAAAATCAAAGATTGATAATATGGCTTGCCATCATGCAAAAATCTGTTTTGATGCAATATTTTGAACATCTTTTTGTAAAACATGTTTTGCAGATTTGCAATCAACTCTAACAAGAAATTTTTGATTTAACAAATCATCTTGAAATTTACTAATGCATAAAACTATAGATAGTATTTCTTTTTTAATAGTACTATAATTAGTTTGAGCAGGATTCCATACA